ATCTATCTTACACAACGACGATGTAGAAAAACTCGACCTCCCTGTTCTAGATCCGAAATCACAAACAAGATTCAGTTTTCGACTAGATTCTTCACCGGGCGTCAAGGAAGGTGAAGAAAGAAAACCGAGTGGCAAATACAGAACTGCCAGCAATAGTACCAGCAGGCGCCGCAGCTTGAGCGTTAGAAAGAGATCTAGCACTGGCTCTACATCGCCATCTACAGTCTCGCCCTCGTTTCAAATCAACGAAACCCTCAAGACACCCAGGAGATCAAATGGTGAGGCGGAAGGAAAACGACTTATGAGATCCCCAGCGAAAGATTCAACACCAAAGAGACGTCGAACACTGCACCGGGCGGACATTTCACTTCCACTACAACCTGAAGAACCGCTGGTCTTACTTCCTGGTCCTTCGCGTCCATCCACACAGCCAGCTATGGGTAAAACACGCCAATACAATGAGCGAAACGTTCAAGCCGCTGATCCGAAGATACTTGCAATGCGACAACTACTTCGCCCTCGGACCCCCACTCCTAGTCAGCGTAATAGTCAACAGCACGAAGAGGCACCCTTTGCTGAGTCAGGTCTCACATCGGACGAACGTGCAAGACTCTTGCAACAGCAAAAGATTGCTATGATCCAAGCTGAGCTTGATCTGGCCAACCCTGATAGGCCTCTCAGCGCCAGTCAGGAATCTCAGGAGAGTCGAAAACCCTCTGTAACTACCCAGGACTTTTTAGACGAAGCTAAGAAGATAATGGCAGGCATTCGCGGTAAAGCAAGACCTCGCAGTGGTCTTACCAGCGTAGAAGAGTCGGAGTCCGAAAACGATCGTGTTCCATCAAACAATGCAGCAGATGACGAGCTGGAAGATTCGTACCAGGAATCAACTCAGGAGTTATTTGAAAGGCCACCAAGTCGCGAAGGAGCCCCAGTATCAAGAACGCCGCCAACTCAAGATCCAGAGCTTTTAAACCACTTACGTAAATATGAGGAGAACAGTGAAATGGATGGCATCATTGCTTCATCCATACAGTCTATGGCTATGGCAAAAGAAGTTGTCAGAAATGCGAAGGAAATTGACAGAATGGCAGACGAAACAATTTCAAGATCACTTGGTCACTTCTTGGATCCTATAAATGCAGTTCAGAGCGAACCAGCAAATATCCGCATATCTAACAACCCAGATATTCAGCGAAAACGCAAACACTCTGGCTCTTCGCGACAACTGGACGAAGAATATGATGATCCTGATTTTTTTACACAAGGTTCGAACAATTCCATACCCACAACGTCATCCAGAGGTTCGGATTCGAGGCGTGTAATTGCTCCGCATACAGTATCTCATCTGATACCAGAACAACTTGCTGGCATGGTTTTTGATCGAGATCGGAATATCTGGGTAAAGAGGAAATCTACCAAAGAAAACGATGGGCAAGATTCCCCTATTTCCGAAGGAAGTGAAGAAGATCCTTTTGAGGACATTCCTGATTTGTCATTTGATGAAACGCAAGAGCTCATGAGGCTGAGGGCTGTTGCTGCCAAACAAAAGGAAGACGCACGGTTACGCTTGGCTGAATATCTCGGCAACGAAGGACAGCAAGGTGCCTTGAGTGGCCAATTCTCGCCTCAAAAGACTTCGAATATGAGCGTTCCGCTGGTGGATAACAGACCCCGGTCAGCACCGTCAGAGCCCATCCAAACTGCCGTAGATAGTCCTGTCCCAGAGATTAAAGTTCGATCCGCCTCTGTAGGTGAAGATAGCATCCTACGTCCAAAAAAGACCCGGCGTGGGAATGTAAGCAAGTCTGCTTTTGGAAGTCACAGCTCGACTGAGGGCAAAGCCCCCGAAGAGAGTAGGGGACTGGTCGAAGACGATGTTTTTATTCAACCAGATGGAGACCTGAGTGCCACAACTCCAAAACGTCAACGAAACGTTACAATCACTTTCTCGTCTCCTATCGCGGAGCTTATCGAGCTGCCTACTTACAATGACGATGATAGCTCAGCACAGGGGGGAGCTTACCAATCCGACGATGACAGTGTCAACGAATCGGACAGCGATGATGGAGGGAGTATTCGAGTTAGAAAGGGGAAATCTAGACAAGGAAGTGGAAATCGTGGAGGATATAGAAACAACTCTCGTAGGCTATCGGTAGGAGGGCAACAATTCATGCCACGTCCAGTATCACGAATTGATGAGCAGGACGAAGAGTCTTTCAATAAAGAAAGAGGTGGCAAGAACAAATCTGGGAACAATCTTCTCCCAACACCATCTATCTCGCCAAAAAGGGTTAATAGTATAGTGCTCGCCACACCACGGCCCATTCACGAGATCGGGACTCTTGAACTTACTCCACTCTCGGAATTTACGATGCATCAAGCAGACGAATCTTATGGGATGGACGTAAGCTATGTGGCAAACGGGCAAAAGCATAATGCAGGGCCTTCTTCAAAGACAACACTTTCTCATTCAATCAAGGAAATGGTTGAAAAATTGACTGAGATAGAACCATATGAGCCATACTGGGAGCATATGAAGAGCGCCGATCTGCATAGGAGGAAACTAACAAACCTCCATAAACTCGACGAGTTTTGTGAGCACCTGGAGGAACTGAAGGTTTCCAAAAACGAAATTAGTCAACTGAACGGCGTTCCTTCATCACTTCGCACGCTCATTATTAACCATAATCGCCTTTCCGATCTTACATCTTGGGGCCATCTGTGGAATCTTCAGGAAGTCGATGTCTCCAACAATGAGATTGAAAGCCTTTCCTGTTTCAAAAACTTGGTGCACCTAAGAAGCTTACAAGCAAACAATAACCAAATCGCTTCGCTACATGGTATTGGAACTCTTGATGGCTTGATTACACTTCGGCTTCGAGGCAATCCAATTGAGACACTGAACTTTGAAGGAACAAACCTCAAACACTTGGAACATCTAGACCTTAGAGGTTGTCAAATTTCAGAAGTCAAGAATATCGGACATTTACCGAATTTGTCGAGCCTCGATTTGGAGAACAATAAATTGGTCAGTTTCATGACATCGGACGATACATGCTCGGCTAGAGAGGTCAGGTTGAGCTTCAACAACCTTGAATCTTTCGATGCGAATCTCACACCCGAGATTCGTATTCTCTATCTGGATTCCAATCGAATCAAGACTATCACTGGCCTCCTCCACAAAAGAAATCTTTATAGTCTCTCAGTGCGTGAACAGCAATCTGGCACGGTTCTGGACAAATCGTTTCTCCGCGAGGCTTTCGAAGTGAGAAAGTTGTTCCTGTCCGGTAATCACTTGGGAACCTTCGATCCGGGTGTCGAATATCTCAATTTGCAATATCTTGAACTTGCAAACTGTGGTATTACTTCTCTGCCAGATGATTTTGGTCTTATGGTGGCAAATGTAAGAGTTCTAAATCTCAATTTCAACGGGCTGCAAGAGTTTCAAAGTCTGCTTGGTATCGTTCGTCTCAAGAAATTGCTCCTTGCCGGAAACCGTTTGTCTAAAGTGGAGAGACTCACAAGAACCTTGAGAGCATTTCCTCATTTAACTACTGTCGATATGAGAAACAATCATGTTAATCACAACTTCTACCCAATAGCATTGGAAAGATGCTTAATCAAAGATGGCGGACTCGAGAGAAATGACCTGGATGTTATTGATCCATATTCTCTTGGCAATGCAGATCCAGTAAGAGATGCTCATTATATCTCGTGTTCGGATATGGCAACAAGATTGATGCGACGTGTATACGAAATGCTCGTCTTTGGAAAGAAAGGCGACAATCCCAAGCTGCAGAAGTTGGATGGTCTTCCGATCAATAGAGAGGTCTCAAAAATTCGGGATGACGTTTGGGATAAGCTTCTTGAGATGGGTTATATAAAATCATCGGGAAAATCCAAAGGGAAGACAAATGGTGGTCCAACTGAGGATGAGAAAACAGAAGAGAGCGTGTTAGGAGGAGATTTTCACCAGGCCACCCCTAATAAAAGTTCAATGGATGAAATAGCTAGGAAGACGGAAGGGTTGCAACATCACCAATCCAACAGTAATGACTCTGGGCAAAGAGTTCGAGGCTCACATGATACAAAATCTAATTTTGAAAACATCGAAATGGGGTTTGAAAGGCCACCTGCTGGCAGTTCTGGCAAGAATATCGCGGAGCCTAAAGCTGATGTAAATCCAATGACCCGAAAGAGCGCCACACAAAAATCAACAGGGTATGGTATTGCACAGGAGAATACCGGAAATCATTCTCAAAGTGGGCAAGCATTTAAAATCTACAAACCCAAGACACAAGTTCCGGTGGACCTCAATTCCCGGGAGAGTGAAAATGCTGAAGCAGCTGAAGTCGACTCGGCGCCAGGACCATCCACAAGGAAGAAGAATGAAATAACACGCAATATAGAGAAAATTATCGCTGAGAGTCAAGCTACTGTTGCAAAACACAGGGCCTTAGTAAGACGTATGGATGATGAAGTTGGAGAAAGCGTGTCCGGACCGAAGCGGATGGAAACCAATAGACCTAAGGCCGGATTTCCACCTCCAGTGATTCCGCTCGCCGATCAGGCTATTTATCAGCAACAACCATCACAAAATTCTGGAGCTGGCCCCCCAACAGCTGCCCAATTGAAACAGGAGCTGGAGGAGATGCTGCAGTCATTCGAACGCGAGACAAAGTCGAAAGAGGCCAAACTGTTGAACCGAAATCGGTATGACCATGGGTCTCCTATTCGACAGAGCAGCCGAAGCAAACCAGCTACGAAGAAGGGCGCTAAGAAGGTTGGATTTGCTGAAGGGAGTAAGGAGGCTTATGCAAGCAAAGATCCGCGCTGGCCAGCTGAGGATAGTTTCGCTTGAGTAGCGAAAGTTACGAATTATGGATAATTACGAGTAATGCGGTGGGATGGTTGGGCTGTACAAATAGGATAATCATTAAGGTATGGTGTTAGTGGTTCTACAAAAGAGTTTGGGGTTTGTGGGATTCTTTGTATAGTATTATTACAGTATTGTTCGGAAGACCACGGAGTGGTCAAGTGATACCTTTCGGCGTATACAATTGCTTGCTACATATAAAAACATCATTTTTCTATAATTTCGACGTCTTCTTTGCTTGCTTCTCCCACTCAGCAACTCTACCCGCAGCCTCTTCTTTCCTCTTAACTTCTCTATCCATATTCACTCCGTCCCTTTCTTCGTTCTGTGCGTGCCCTTCCAAATATCCCAAAGTCTCTCTCCACATCTCCGCCTTCAACACGCCATAAACACCAGTCTTTCCTTTCTCCAATAATTTGCAGTCATCAACTAGCTTTAACACTTCTTCCCATCCACCTAATACATCTACAAGTCCTCCTTGGAGCGCTGCTTCGCCATTGAAACGTTTTGCTTCTAGAACGAGGGAGCGGTAGGTAGAGGGAGAAGGGAGTTTTTGGCGGAATATGGAGGACATGGGGGGTTTAAGAGGCGCGCCAAATTCAAGCTCGTTGAGACAGAGAAAGCCCCGGCTTGGGTTGAAAACGCGGTAGTCGGTGTACATGGCGGTCATGAGGCCGCCAGCAAATGCATGGCCGGGGAGGAGGGAGATAGTGGGCATGGGGTAACTTTATTTTGTCAAGATGTTAGAAATGACTCTATTAATTGAGAAGCTGGAATGTATAGAATGAAAGAGAACTTACGTCAACAGCCTCTTCCAGAGCGCATAGAGGCTCTTGTCCCAAAATCCTTTAACCTCGGTAGCATGATTCAAATCTAAACCATTGGAGAAGAATTTGGGAATAGCAGAAGTGATACAGACGGCACCGACGGGATAGGAGACTTCGAGGATATCGAGGGCGTGCATGAAAGTTTGGCAGAAAGTAGTGGTGAGACGATTATCTGGGGGCGAAGAGAAGGTGAGGAGGTAAAGATTCGGGTGCGCAGGGGAGGGTGTGGTACAGGTTAGGGTGCCGGGTTGGGATTGGAGGGGGGAGGATATGGGTATGGGGAGGGTAAAGAGGGGAGTGGTGGTGGACATGGTGTATGATTGAATATTGAGATAGGGATATAGACTGAAGGTAGAGAAGTATTATCGGATGAGATCAATATATCTATCTATTGAATACTCGAGTAAAGATGCGAGGTCGCGATTGTGAGAATGTAACAATCGGTAATCACCTACATCATGCCGAGGTTCAAAAAAGCCTAGTCTTCTGGTAAAATGCCGTCTGACCTCTCAGATCCGAACCTTGCGATTCAACAGTGGATAAATAAGTCTAAGATTACTTATTACTATCGCGAATACCCACACGTTGAAAGTTTCTAGATCAAAAATGATCCTGGGTCTATACTTCGATTATCTCGCCGATAGCATAGCTCTTTCCTTAACATGTGAAGGTAAAGCTGGATAATTTTAGCACAAGGCTGAAGACCCTGGCCACATCCCTGTCAGCCTACCCACCTTTATTACCAAAGAGCTTGCGACAGTCTATCTGTCACTTCAATGATCAAACACAAAACACAAATTTTTGCACGACGTGTGATGGCTATCGCAGAAAAGCAGAAGACCATTGTGTTCTTCCATCCTGATCTAGGGATTGGTGGTGCCGAAAGACTCGTTATAGATGCCGCAGTAGGATTACAGAATCGGGGGCACAAAATCGTTATATTCACCAGCTATTGCGATCCTAAGCATTGCTTTGATGAAGCTCGAGATGGTTAGTTGGAAGATGGAGCTTCTACTATACGATGCCAATGCTTAATCTGTATAGGTACACTTGATGTGCGAGTAAGAGGAAACTGGCTTTTCCCATCCTCAATCCTCTCTCGATTCTCCATTATCTGCGCCATTCTTCGACAGTTACATCTAATTGTCCAGGCGTATTTTACCTCTGAAATCAGCAGCCTAAAACCCGATGCTTTCTTCGTGGATCAGCTCAGTGCTGGACTACCGTGGCTACGATACTTTTATCCCAATACTCGCATCTTCTTTTACTGTCATTTCCCGGACCTGTTACTCGCACAGGGAAGAACCCATTGGGTGAAACGCGCATATAGAATACCTTTCGACTTCTTGGAGCAATGGAGTATGAGTTTTGCGGAGTCAATTGCGGTCAATTCTGGATTCACAAAGGGTATGGTGGAACAGGTATTCCCTGAATTGGCCAGAGAAAAAGATTTACAGATTGTACATCCTTGTGTGGATGTAAATCCAAAGAAATCTGAGACAAGTGATGATGCTGTTCCAGTCTGGCATGACAGGAATATTTTGTTAAGCATCAATCGATTCGAAAAGAAGAAGGATATTGGTCTTGCAATCAAAGCATATGCAGGATTGGGCAAACATGGAAGACAGGGAGTGAGATTGGTACTTGCTGGTAGGTCATGTTTCGCTATTGGTGAGAAGCATGCTGACACGATTGACAGGTGGATATGATAACCGAGTGATGGAGAACGTCGTATACCATAAGGAGCTCGTTAAACTGGCTACCGACTTGGGATTGAAGACAGCTACCACACGGACCATCGTCACAGCATTAAATGTACCTGATGATGTAGATGTTTTGTTCTTGTTATCAGTACCGAATACTTTAAAGGAAATGCTACTAAATTCAGCACGGCTTTTGATATATACACCTTCTAACGAGCATTTTGGCATTGTACCCCTGGAGGCGATGTTGGCTGGAGTACCAGTGTTAGCTGCAAATACAGGAGGGCCACTCGAAACAGTAGTGGAAGGGAAGACAGGCTGGCTCTGTCCACCTGATGATGTTGAGAAATGGACGGCTGTCATGGATAAAGTCCTAAACAAGATGACGGATGATCAGGTTAAACAGATGGGAATTGACGGTGTAAAGAGGGTTAAGAATGAATTTTCTGATGTCAAAATGGCCGAGAGAATTGATGGATTGATCGATGGAATGGCAAATACGCCCAGGAAGAGTGCTCTACAACTCTCCGCGTTCTTGCTAACTATTATTATGGTTGTATTGGACATTGCATTCTGGGGCTTGGGTCAGAACAAATCAGTCAACAAAAAGCTGGACAAGTTTTTGTTGCCTCCATTCATTCTTACCCTAACGTCATTGATATCATGGGCTGTGTATTTTGTAGTCAATTCCCAGGCCAAGTCGAGTTCGCGGCAGCCGATTAGATGAGGAAAAATAGATAATTAAATGCATTGATAACATCCCACTCTGTAGATCTTGCGGCAAGGATACATGTATGAGTATTATTGAGAAAAAAGGGGTGTGATGAAATATGATTGGCTGAAACCCGCCGAGGCGAATGGGGGTTTTCCAGACACCACGAACCTCAATATTTCTTACAAATTTCAATGTAGCACAACATACAGCATACAATCCTATATGTACTCTTTGGCATTCGTTTGTTGTTTTTAATATTGAAACAGTTCTAGATACTAAGGTTCTTTGGTCTAGTAAAGGCAGATTATAAATTGTATTACTTGCTATACTTCCCTAAAAGCCTGGGCTAGGCTACTCAATCTTTCATCTTGAAACCTCCAAAAATCGCAAATTTGCCCCACCACCAGTCAATATAACGCGTGTTTTGTCTCGACACCGCTCTCTTATCATTCATTCATTCATTCACAACTGGGTGGAACCGTATCTTCAAACACTGTTACCAATAAACACGCCAATCATTACCACTCACTTGGTTTCCCAAATAGCCAAACCCGACAGATAGTATCCGGAGCTACAAGCCGCAACAACTTTACACTGCAAGAAGTTTGCGAGGTACGAAGCAATTCTTGAGTCATCCGCCAACCAATCGAGCTTGTGGCATTCCTGACGAGTGCATATCCTGGTGTCATTGAAAGGCTGGGCATAGTGAGATACTGGGGTAGTGGTAGTATCCGTCGATATCCGATACCGTACCTGAACGTTTGATCTGTTTGCGGGGAGCTACTTCTACATACGTATAGCCATACATAAAGATGTTGTTGTTTAAAAGTTCTCGCTCGCCCATGGCGGCTGGGAGGGTCTCGACACGCACTCTTTTGCATGTCTTGAAAAGTGGTAGATTCAGCAACGCGATGGGAGAATTACAAGCACCATTGTTTAATCACGTGTTACGGAAATCATACAGTCTCAAGAGTCTCAAGAAGGTAGAGAAGTTCGGCTCTGTAGTCGTGGGCACTGGGCCAGCTGGACTTGCGGTTGTGGGCAACCTTTTGGAGCAGAAAAAAGGCCCAGTTTTATGGGTTGGAGATGCTCAACGTTCGGGGGGTGGCAGATTAGACCGAGCGTATCGAGCTGTGCCTTCGTGAGTTTTGTCCTTCTCTCTATTGCTTGAATCTTGAGTGCAAATCTAATGATCTTTTACCATAGCAACACGAAAGTCAAGTTCTTTTCTATGTACGCAGATGCTTTAGAACCTTTCAAGCAAATCACAAGTGAAGCTGCTACTCCTAACGCTTATAGCGTTTTGCAAGATCTTGATCAGGAAAAGACTTGTCACATTGCTGAAGCTGCTGATTTAGGGCTGATGTTGGGCGCCGGGCTTCTCAAAACCGAGGGTGTTTTTGGAGTCAGTAATGGCACAGTTGAAAGTGCTTCTTGGTCCGAGGTAAGTTCATTGTCTAGGTCGGTTATCTACAAGCTAATGCCAAATAGACCAAGGGCTGGAATGTAAAATTCAGTGCCTCAGGGAGTAAAACACGTTCAGTATCCTCCGATCTCCTTTTTTTGTGTACTGGTTCTCACCCCAGTTGGAACCGCCTTGAACTTGATCAATCTAGTAAACGGGTGCCTAGCATTAGTCTTGATAAATGTTTGAAGCCTTCACTATTAAGGCGAAGCATCCGTTTTGCTATAAAAAAGAATCCAGACCCAACTAAGCCTATCACTATCGCCGTCATTGGTGCATCTCACAGTGCAATTCTCGTACTGAGAAATCTTTGCAATCTCGCAACTTCCCCTGACCAGGAATTCCAGAACCTTCGTATCAAATGGTTCACTCGCCATGAGCTTCGATATGCCGAGGAACGTGATGGATGGATCAAACGCGATAACACGGGTCTCAAGGGTGAAGTCGCTACATGGGCAAAGGAAAATCTCGAGGCCGAGACATTACCCACATCTGACGTTTCCAAATACCTCGAGAAAGTAAAGACCTCGACAGAAACCGAGAAGGAAGACTACGAGAAACATTTACCCGGATGTAACTGTATGGTGCAGGCTATCGGGTTCACCAAGAACGAGCTTCCAACTATCGAGAGGGATGGCACGCCATTGGAGATTACTTATAATCATGAGACGTCGGAATTTGTGGATGCTGAGGGAAAGACAATTAGGGGGCTGTATGGCGCTGGAATTGCGTTCCCAGAGAAGGTTGTGGATCCTGAGGGAACAACGGAGTACGCCGTTGGCTTGTGGAAGTTCATGAAGTATTTGAAGAGGGTTGCGCCAACGTGGACTGCGTGAGGAGAGGTGCTGTGACATTATCATGGTGGTAGGAGATGCTGCATGATCAATGATGTAATGAGATAGACTTTTTTTGGTGCCTGCAACTTCCAATTATACATACCCTGCTGCAAGTTATGTACTTATGATCGCAAGTATAACATGGTGACGAAAGAATATTGAAACTCAACAATGCACCCTCGCTTTCATCGCACAGCTATGATGGGCGCTTTTTACTGATGTGCTGCTTGAATTCATGCATACTCACCTCGAACTTCGAAATCATTGCATAGATTGAATCTATACTATACATACCTCGAATTAGTTTCAGACATCGAACTTAATATATCATATGGTAAAGTCACTTCACACATCGAATCTGAGACGTGTACCTATCCAACCAGCCACACCTGCTCCAAGCAGTACATTTTCCTTCCATCCTCTCTTTACCGCCATCAAATATTTCTCAGTGCTCACCATGCTCATCGTCAGCTCAATCCAATCAACAAATCTCGTTCTCGTTTATAGAGAATCCAAACACGTTAAGCCTAAATACTAGAGACGCCGGAACTTCCCTTAAACCTTTCCACAAAGTGTGCTTCTAGCGTGGTTGTAAGCATGACGAGAAAATAGTACTTCTTTTGGGTTAGTCGTATTAGAATGTTTTACTTAAAAATCGTTTGCTAGTTCATTTATCTATTAGCATCTCCTCCGCTGTAGGGCTGAAGTATATCCGTTCTCTCACATGGATGACCCAATAATGCACTAGCTCATTCTAGTAGCTTATTTTTGCCGCGGAGCCGGCGCTTGCTTCGTATTGCATGAGACGAGAGAGTTCCATGTTTCATACCGATTTCTGCGTGTTTATGTGCATGTACATGGTTCATGCCCACGAATGCGAATCTCATTGTCATAAGACTGTGTCTATGGATCTAATGGATTTCAGAGTATGGGCATTGCTCGGTGACGCAGTAATTCGATTACGAATGGTGATGGTCGTCGAGTTACTAAAGATTACTTAAAGTCTTCCATTGTCGAGAGTCTCATGACGCAAGCAGAAAGTTCTGGGGAGGATGAAAGAGATTGCCATCGTTTGGATTACATTACAAGTTAGTACATTCAAGAAGAAAGGGAGGGAATAGCCCGAAAGTACTTGCTTTGAAAGGATAGATGAGAGAATCGCATCTTCTCGCTCTCCGTGCGATCCAAAGGGCCAACGTCGAAATCTGGAATTAAGCAAAAATGTAGCTGAATGTGGGATCAAAAATAGATTCGAATACCATGCAATACTCTCACGATCGACAGTGGATATTGGGTAGTAACGATGATTTCGAGGGGAAGTCGAATAAGAAATGTGCAGACTCAAGCGCATTTGAGTGTGGAAGTGTTCTTTCAAGTAGGAGGATTTCATCAAGCGCTAGGTTTCATTCAGTGTGTCCTCGCAAGAAAAGATCAATTGGAAAGGAAGACGATCGAAGCAAGCGAATATGGATGGAGAAAAGAGGAAAGGAGCTAAATTACTTTAGCTTGATATTCTTCTTTCCTCACAAGATGATGAAATTGTAGAAAGTCAAAGTGCTTTTCTGCATCAAATCCTGCTTCATCCCCTCGATATTCTCTTATATCGCTCCCAATTACCTTTAAATTTCATCAACGTCGTTAATGATTCTTCGTTATCCGATCTAAAGACTTCTTGTTACTACTACATCAATTGCTCAACAAGTGTAGATGAATGTTATCAATTTATTTCCCAAGAATTCCCATTATTTTCATGTCTTCATCAAAGCTTGTCGGTACAAATGAAATCATTCATGTTCACACCCCAACAGAAAATATTGTTTATAGACACTAGCATTATGCATCATGACTACACCAAGTCACCAATGGAATGGCGCTATGGTAAGAAGACCAAATTTACTCAAAAGTCTCTCTTATCATCCCTGAGAACAATAATACAGTTTTCCTTCGATTTCATTAATCGCGCATACTCCATTACAATTGGAGATGGTGAGGAATATCTAAATGACATCAAATCAGCCAGATGTTAGGTTGGCAGACGGAAGTTAAAGAGAGTGGTTACTAGCCTGTGCCATTGACATCAACGAAATACTGGGTACCAGAAACCATCAATTGTGTCATTATTTCTTGCTATTTGAGCCACGAGGTATTAAAAAATGTTCAATCGTCGTGAAGGGAATTCATTCAGTATCTGCGTTTTCGCTGAACGTCGTTTTTACCTTTAGCTCCACGGGCTCCTGCTTCTGTCCTCCACCACAAACATATGGGCCATTTAGTGGGGCGTTTTGGGGCCATCCTCGCGAAGTCGCAATTTCCCGTTGGAGTTTCTATCAAAGTGTTAATAATGTCTATTTCATTCTAATACCATCTTGCCTTTCTGTTACAACGAACTCTTATGTGACCCAGCTTCATTCCGAGTATTTGCCTATCATTGTTAGTACTTTCCTCTACCCCAACTTCTACTCTCAGTCTACTCACATGTCCTTCTCGGTGATGTCCTTCACCGCCTTCCAATTATCAAATCTTGCATCCATCAAGCGATTCAGATAGTGTAGCATCTGAAGTCTGTTGAATATCAACTGAAGTTCTATGTCTGGAGGATTCATGTCTGGCAGATCAAAGTTTGGTAGATCAAAGTTCGAGGGATCCATATGAGGAAAATCCATCTTTGGGAGTCATTTATTGCGAAGTTCTCCAAGAAGATATTGAAGAACAAAAGTCTAAATTGCGAGAAACCTGGGGAATGGAGCTCCGTGCGCCTTGCTTCAAATGCAGTGAGCAGGATAATGCCAACTTTGGTTGCGCGATGAGATTCAAGCAACCCAGTCACCAATTCCATATCAGGCCTTTATATGGGGTTGGATACCACTTTCGGCTTATCTTCCTATTTGACCTGCGCACCTCGAGTGCAATGCTTGACCATGATATATAACCCTTGTATTAACCCCGCAGACGCGCTGGTTCTTGGATACACTTCAAGGCCATGGTATGGTGCTACGTCATCCAAATAATTGACAAAGACTACCAGTGAACGGAAGCTTTTCTCGAGAAAAGTCCCCAAAAGCACACATAGAACAGCGTATCAAAGGACATTCCCTCAATTCATCATGTGTAACTACCACCCCTACCACCTGTTACACGACCTCGTTTCAACGCCCTCGAAGCAATCAGAATCCCGGTAGAAGGCGCAATGTCGAACCGAACCAACCCTTCCTTCAGAGATACGTCTGGTATTCGCTTCGTATAGGAACGAGCCACATTCGAAATGCGGCATGTTCAAGCCGGTACGGGAGTTCGACGTGCGTCTTTTCACGACGTCTCACTGGACTGCTCCTCTGAAAGCCATGTCGCGATCTGAACGTTTTCTCATCGAGCATTCCGAATCGCACCTCTCTGCGAGTTGGGAAAAAGCCACGTCCGCGACGGGTTATGTGACGCGGGTAGTACAAAAGGGGGGGAAGTATTTGAGGTCGGTAGGTGGCGCGAATAATCTTTTTCATACTATGTATGCATTCATTGTCTGATTGCGAGGAATTCCTGTTGATGAATGACATCCCTTGGTTATCATTTTATTTTTCGATAAAGTGTTTGAAATCTCTCTGGGACAGAGCTTCTTGTTTGAAGAATTTGTGAGAGCTTTGAAATGTCTCACATGGCTTTAATAGACTGAAACTCCCAGATGTACTGCATCTCTGAACTGTGTCGAGTCTCTTCACGATACAGTCGTTGCCACGCAAACGCGGCGAAAAAAGGAAATATCAACTAATTTTACTTTTTGTCATATCAAACAATGGCCCTATCTCAGGGGAATTGATTGGTGTGATACAGCACGTGCCAACTGCTATCAGCCAAAACTCATTTTCACACCAAAAATCAACATTTTACTATATTTTCAATTTCTAAAATCTTTGTGATTTATAAATAAAATTCTTTTAAAATTTATTTTTATAGAGTTTTTGTTAAAAGATCATATAGGAGTTAGTGGAAAAGCCTTGATATTATTAAGTTCTATATAGAGATACGATATATATATATGGACTTGATAGAGTTATATACAGGCTAATCCCGATACAGCATAGCGTGATATACGATATAAGTATCTTTTCTAATACTCCTCTATACTAATATCATATATCTGAAGCTATATAGTCTATTGAAAGCTATGGGATATTATATTATAAGTCGGGGCTATAATTGATTTCAATCAAGCTAAATAGTATAATCTATATCGTATAGATATATATATAGCATTTGATTATTCTCATTCAGTAAATCTCGAGAGTCGCTAACAAATGCTTTAGAACTAGCAAATTGATTCCAACAGATATTAGAAAGCACTTTGAGATTGTAATTATTAAAACTACTATAAGATCAATAGATCAGATCTTATATACTATCAGGAAGCGCTCTCGAATCAGCAAGTAATATTATTATAGAAATATTTAATTACTAATAATATCTTTTTCAGGAATCAATATCTTTAATCAATTTTTTAAAGAAAATCATTTCCTTTAGGATTACCCTGTTATATGGATATATATATAGTAGTAAGGGATACAATAACTCTCACCTATACGTGGTATATCCTATAAACCTTCGATCGTACGATCGGAGAGCTAAGTAGAGTCAGCTGGAGCCGGGTGGTGGTTGTATACTAATCGGAGGTTATACTAGAAGTGAAAGTATACGCAGCTGATCACTAAAGGGTAATTGCGAAGATACTTGAAATAAAGAATTATTAGTAAAACGGAAATGAAAACCATTTGATAGTGAAAGGGAAATGAGAATAGGATTGATATAAAACTATATCTTTATAAATCTATATAGAGAATAGAGCCAGAGCATATTACAGTAAAGCATTTACAAAACAGAACTAGCCTTTGAAATAGCGGATAATAAAACTTCTATAATATAATTGAGTCTAATTAAAGCCTGTATTAGAAATAAAACCGATATCCTTAACTTGACAAATGAAAATCGATAGAATATCTCTAGAATATTAATATATAAAGTTTTTATAATCCAATAATATATATGATCTATAGGTATACTGAATTGAATATTTATAAATAGTAAAGGGAATAATAGAAAGTATATAAAAGTTAGAATAATATTTATTAGAACTAATAAAAGTATATATAAAGTAAAAGAAGGAATGTTTTTAATATCTTATCTCTGAGTATATAAAAGCAATATGACAGCGGAAAAGCTTTAATATAGAAAGAATGCTTTTAGCAAGCCACACTCGACAATGCTTGATCGATATTATAGTAATAGAGGATCTCAGGTAGAGACTAATTCTACAATATATATATACAATACATTCCTAATACTCTACTTTCAATTACAAATTATACATTAAGGGAATAGATTTTACAAGCAAAGCTTTAGTTAATAGATTAAAAACACTATAGAAGGGCTACCTAGCTAAAGATTTGAAATAACAAGTCTACAAGATATAGTTGGCTTTGTTGTGTAGAAGAAATCTAATAAGATAATACGAAACAACTATTAATTGCAAGGTATAGCATATAATAATAGCGATAGTAACACTATCTATATAACTTGAAAGGACGGATGCATATATTAATCTATAATCGGATATTATAAGACAAAGAGTATAATAAAGATATCAGATAAACTTAAGAAGCAAACAGGAATGGAGGTGTAAAGGAATAGTTTTGGTTCTGACCAGAACTTCTGAAGGTAATTATGCAATAAATAATTTAATGTAATCAGAAGATTTTATAAAAGCCTAGTACTAGTGGTTTTATTACAAGTAAACCGGGAAAGCGTTTATAGGTGTAGCGAACCTACTTTGTATTATAATATATTCTAGAAAGTAGTTATAATTGTTGGAAATCACATGTGTAGCATATGTGTAACACGTGCACATTACTATAAAACTCCTTTTTCGGACTTCCCGGATATATAGATCTGATATATATATTTCAATATATCACTTCTTATGTATAACTTGCTATTTATTTTTGATAGATTATAAGCACCGCATTATTATAAGCTTTATTTTATATCTCTATATCTCTTAAGTCTCAAGTTCTTATTTCCTTATAGCTATTCCTATTCTTAATATTATAACAAGTAAGACTATTATCAATATAATTTAAACAAAATAAAAAACACTAATCACTTTTAATAATTATAACTAAATAGACTTCTATAAAGTTATTCAAACTATTTATTTATTTATTTATTTATAGTGATTAACGTCTTGTGGGGGACCTCCCTAGGGGTATGAAAGACGTGGCTAGATCTAGAGTTACAAATACAGAAAGGCGCTGATACGTACGCTAGTAAAACCTTATAGGGTAAATCCAGTTCCTTCTATATATCCTAGACAAGCCAATATAATGTTCGCAAATAGGGTTATTTGATTGGCTCTATATTTTTAGCGCTTTCTACTACTCATAGAGAGGAGCGCTCTGATTGTATAATTACTCCTGTTATAAAACCATATGGGCAGGAGCAGTGTATACAAGTGTGTTGCTTCAAAGAAGCAGGTGTATATATAATAGTACTCCATGAGAGCAGAGGATTCGGCTATTGGGCCGCTCGAGAGGAGTAGCCGGAATGATGATTCCGCTGAGTAGTGGAGTGGTGTATAGGCACAGTAGTAGTAGCTGAAGGGGGGATCAGTTCCCCCTCAGTATTCGATCGATCGCTTTTGCGGCCTATAATAAAAAAGCTCTATTAGGGTTAGCGATAGATTGTCAAAACTTAATGGAGCTGTATCAAGAGGTCTACATTAAGGTGGCCTATGAGGCGGTATATAGGGTGAATCCATATGGATCAGATTGCTATAGCCTTAAGTTGTAGAACAATGGGAGAGTGGCCTGATCACTCTACCACTGAACCAGCCGGGCTCCTTGCGGAGGACAATAGTCTTTTTGTCAGTTATTCAAACTACTATAATAGCAGTATCTGTATTATCCCTATATATAGGGAGAAGTGTAAAACTAGTAAGTAGTTAAGCCAATATCATTGAATAGAATAAAAAAACAGAAATTATATTCTCTATTATCAATTCCTGTATTATTCCTATATACTGCTTTCAATTTATATATATAATTGATGTAGAAGATATTACAGAAATCTAAGCAAAACTCTTAATATTCAATAATAATGCAAATCTTTAATATACTTAGAATTTTTAGTAATAGTTTATTCACAAGCAATTCGATTCTAAAACAGAAATAATTCAATTCTTTTTTAATCGACTTCTCAATTATCAATATAAATTATCTATAATAATATAATCTCTATCTGAAATAAAGATCTACTTTTATTTTTTGAATACATTATTAGATATAGAAATCTGGCAAATATAGCAAAACTTTATTATATCATTAAATATGAATATATAAGACGCATTATATGCCCTATAACAAGCTGAGAGAATTCCTTGAGATATAATAAGTTATTTAATAATAACTAATACTATATAAGGAAATATAAAAGGAAAAGATAATAAAAGAGCTCAAGAAAGGAACAAAAAAGGATATGGAGAATATTATGAAAATAAAAGAAAATATGTATTTGAAAAAGGTAATAATACTTTATTAAATTCTGGTAAAACTATTAAGACTGGATTTTATACTTATAAATTCTATAAGAAAAAAGGATATTAATAAGATATTTGTTGAAAATATAATAAAGTCAAAAAAGCCTAGTATTCAAATAAAAATATTGAGAATAATAGTTTTGCACAAGTAGTTATAGTAAACAAATATACTAGTTTCTTATATCCTAATACTATAATACATGCCAAAATCCAAAATGATATATGGATTCTTGATTCGAAAGCTTTTTATCACTTTACTGATTTTATTGAAAATCTCTTTAATATTATATAATAAGATATTTCACAAAAAGTCAAAACTACGAATAATACATATTCTATGAATATTACATACAGAATAGTTATTATTGGAAACTTTACACTAAAAGATATCTGATATATTAAGGACTTTTGGAATAATCAATTTATTTTAGTTAGAATATTTATCGAAATAGATCGAAAAGTCATTTTCAAAGGGGGTTTAGTGTTATACTAGAAAAATGATTAGCTAGAAATAGCTATAAGATATATTAATAGCAATTATATTATTCGATAACCATTTATTCAATAAGTATATATAATGAATATAGACTCAGAAATAGAAGAGATTGATACGAATAACAATAAAGCTAAGATTATATATCAATGCTTAGATTATTTTAATTATAATTAGATGGATAAGCTAAAGAAAGCTTTAAATAAGTTATACTATATTAAAAAAAAGAAAAGTACTGATCGAAAAGCTTGTGAGTCTTATTTTGTAGGAAGAATGAATGAGTATTTCAATAAATATATAATTATTCATATATCTACAAAACTATAATGCTTATATATAAATCTATTAGGAATTCAAGAACCTTTTGAAAATAGAAATAAATACTTTATTATAATTATTGATAATATAATAAAAGAAACTTGACTTAGATTTATAAAAAAATAAATCTATAGAGATTATTATACCTATACTGATGGATTTTATTAACTAGATTGAAAAAGAGTTCAATTGCAAGATTATTATTATTAGAATAAATAATAAGAAAGGCAAATTTGGAATATTCTTTCAAATAGAGATTGGAAAGAGAGAACTGATATTCGAACCCTTATCCCCTAGAAAGCACTTTATAAATAAAATAATTGAAAAGAAGATTTAAGATATTAATACTATAATGAGATTGCTATTAAGCAAATTAAATATCAAGCCTAATATATAAAAACTTATTATTAAATATACTATATCTA